TTAACTTTCTATTTATTCAAAAATGTAAACAATATATTGTTATTAACTAATTTATAATTTGCATAAACTAACAATATATTTATGATTATTCCAATTAATAATATATATATATTTTTCTTTTTCGAATATTTAATATAAAAAACCTATCGTTACTTATTACCAAATACCTATTTATACTTTAATAACTAATCTAATACACTATGTATTTAATTTAAAATAAATTTCTATTAGAAATAATTTTGATTTTTCTATGAATTCAAAAATATTAGAATAAGTGCGCATGTATTTATTGTTAAACATGGTGAGGCTGATGCTTGAACACTTTGAACCTATATTAATGATCATATTATTATACTGTAGAGTAGAAACAGGAATTGACTTTTTTTGATATTAATGGAAACGATTGTTTCATTTTTTATATTTTGGCGTACATCGTATAATATGCGTCATTTTTCGAATAGTACKTAATTAACAATATAATATAGTTATAATATATTATATAATATAATAATTATATCATAATTGTCCCAGACATTGATATCATCATGATGGAGTACTAATATAATATAATAATATAAATATAATGTGTATAACTATATATTTGTAGCAAATTTCCCTTATTTTAATATAATACATTGACTTGTTAAAAAACAATGTTTAATATGGTCTCTAATAACGAAGGTATATTATGTAATGTGCAATGTGCATGAATACTTTATCAGATTGTAGCTGGAGTGATGAATATTATACTTCCTATACGTATATATATACACACACGCACGTTGATGGTCACTCGCAAGCTGCAGTGTTGTGTGCATACTTAATAATAATAACAATAATAATATATAATCATTTTTATCGTCGAACAACATATTTTATCATCTATTTAAACAACAATATTGATTTAATGATGGCAATTACCCAAGTGTCTAACCATTGGTAATTGTTTTGTTTTTTAAGTAAAAAAGGAGATTTTGCACGGTATCGGTGGCAGTTTCCGGTCCGGACAACTAACGGCCATCATGGGACCGTCGGGATGTGGTAAGAGCACATTACTCAACGTCCTCGCCGGATACTCGTGAGTATACATTCAGTAATAAAGTTTAAATAAACGTAGTMATGTACTTTGGTGTGTAATAGAATACAATAGAATACGTATTCAAATTTAATGTTTTTGAATAATTTAGCTGCTTTTAATGACATTTTAAAAATCAAAATTTTATAACGGAGTCATCGCTGGAATTTTTAATTTACTTCTTGTAATTGTTGTGAATCCAACCGATGAATCTGATAACGCGTTATGACTGAAAACTTGAAAATTGACTTGTTGTGTGTACTTTTGTGATCAAGCTACATTTTAAGATATTTAATTTAATTTTCGAAAAAYCAACATTTAGATTTTAGTAAATTTTAAAGGTTCAAACAAAATGTATTGGAGTTAAGGAACAAATTGTTAAAATGATGGCGCCTCGATCAATCTGAAGTAGACGTATTAAAAAATTCAAATTAGTTTTCAGTAGTCGTATCGTGTTATCAGGTCCATCGGTATGATTTACAAAAAAATTATAATTTGGTTGTAATAATACAGTGTCCGTTTGCAATGCTATTAAAAACTGATTATTCAAAAATATTAAATTTGATCATACTCTTAGATTGCCAATTTTATAGTTAGAAAAAACTTTTTACACAAAATCGTTTATAAAAGAATAGGAACTCTACTTGAATCCGTTCTAGAAAAAAAATTGGAGTTATTACCATTAAAAACAAAAATAAGTTGTGCTTGCACGTATCAATAGAGTTATAAATCTTAAATTCACCTGAAAATATATTGAAAGTGTTGATACACCCTATCACATCCCGAAAACTTCATACTTCATTTCAATCCAAGGTCATTCAAATGAAATATTTAATACTTACCTTATATCGTGAACACACTGTATGGCGAGTGATTTTGTACTTGAATGTATGTTAGTTACCTATATATTAAGTAACTTATTCTAACGAATACCTAGGTCTTTTGCTCTTGATATTTCATTGTCATGAWTTCGAAACACTATACAGTGAATATGTCAGTGTTTGGCTGACCTGATTTTCGTTGCAGGATAAGTGGAAGTTCGGGCCAAGTGTATTTGAACGACTCGTTGCGAGATGAAAAACAAATGGCGAACATCAGCTGTTACATACAACAGGACGATTACGTGCGCGACCTGTTGACCGTCAGGGAATCGATGACTGTGGCAGCCCACCTCAAGTTACCGACAACCGTGTCGGCGATATCGAAAGCCAACCAAGTGGAGGACCTGCTGAACGCATTRGGTCTGTCTTTCCACGGAGACACCGTTACCAAACATCTCTCCGGGGGCCAGAAAAAGAGACTGTCCATCGCTTTAGAACTCATTACAAACCCGTCGATATTATTTCTGGACGAGCCCACCTCGTGAGTACCGGATAAATATATATAATATTATTCGGATGATGGTATMAATCTTAATAATTTACTAAAATCCAATAAGACACCCTCTTGAGGTAACTAAATATCACTTTTGATATGTGCCAAAGTGAAGAAATTCGTTCGGTTGTACTGTTGAAACAAATATAACGAACCGACTTAGGCGTTTTTGATCGTTTTATTTTGGATAAGTACACATTACAAAACACAKTTATTATTTGTTCAACATTTTTGAGCTCATTAAAGTTGTTTGAAAACTAAAAAGTTATTAAGTTATATGATATTTTCTCCTAAATCCCTATTACGTGATCAGAATACGTGACTTAAATTTCTTTTCATTTACATTATAGAATGTGTTTTTATAAAATGTTCCTAATATAGAGAACCACACTTGCTTGTCTTGTCCCTGTTTTACAAACATACAATAAAACAAAATGTAATAAAAATAAGAATAACCATATTTGTGTTTATTTAGTGTCATTATTATAGTGAATTTATCTATTTTCAGGTTAGTCATCACTCATCAGTATTTAAAATATTTCAATTTTAAAATCATTATGCCTAGTTTAGAAATTAATAAACTATATACAAATAATGTTTTTACCCTTTATAGTTTGATAACTCACTCAATGCTAAATTACATTCATCACAAAATAGGTTTTTCTAAATTCGAATTTGTTATGACGTATGAAACGTTCAAAAGACCCAYGGGTGTRGACATTTTCTTAACATTTAACATAAACATATCCAAAAATATAATTTATCAATAAACGTATTTAATTTTTCGATCATAATATCTTTCTATTACTGAATRGTTTCTTCGATCAAGTAAATCAAATCCTCTTGTTTATCTCTCCGCCCATTTTATATATTATAAAACATATTTTATACAAATTGTACTCATTAAAAATATGTATGACAACATTTTATTGTCATAAAAACAACAAAAATAATAATAATAAATATGATGTGATAATATATATATATATTAAATATAAATATTTTACCGTATAGTGGATTGGACAGTCAATCTTGTAGCCAATTCGTATCACTGATGGCTGACCTAGCTCACCACCAAAATCGTACCATGGTGTGCACACTRCACCAGCCTAGTGCTTTACTGTTCGAAAAGTTTGACCAAGTTTATGCGTTAAGCTCGGGCCGGTGCATCTACCAAGGACCACCCAACTTAGTTATTCCTTACTTTGCCGAACGGTTAGTCGTATGTCCACCTTACCATAATCCAGCTGATTTTTGTGAGTACGAGTATAATATTACGTTATATAATACAATTATGGTTTTATTAATTTTTTGCTGTATCAATTATGACGATGATAATCGTGTATGACTAAARATTGGTAGATATTGAGAAAAAAGTTATTAATTAAACAACCKTCAACTACCAATCTCATGAGAACAATWAATGTCAATAATACACGTCTTATCAAATATATTTAACTATTTAGTTTCAAAGTTTAAATAATAAATTATGTAATAGTCAACCAATMATTTTAATTCATGACATTTTGTGAAAAAAAAAATGTAAAATGGCAATTATTCCTATCACAATTTTCAAATTTATGTTAAACAAAACTATTGAGGATATATATTATTATACTATATTATATTTTTTCCCTTAGTGATCGAAGTGGCCATAGGTGAATATGTTACTGATGACGTACTCGTTGAATTGTTCGATACAACAAAAATCACGAACACAAATGGCCGCAACAAGTGTCATACAATTTCTGACGAAGACCACGAACAAATAGAATTAGAAATTGGTGTGTTTCCTTTTCAATTTAATATAACACATTCAATTTAATTATATAACTATAATAGGTACGATGATATTAATAAAGAGCAATGCAAATCTATTCGTTTTGTAGACACGTGCCAGGAAGACAACAATACCAATGACGAACGATTATCGTATAAAATAGAACTTTCAAATAAGCCTAGGTTTTATGTACAGATCTATCATTTATATATGCGAAACATAACCATGTACAAACGCAACAAAGTGAGTAAACAATAATATTTTAATAACGTTGTCGGTATAAGAATATGATAAATATTGTATTTTTAATGTGCAATGAAATAAGACATTAATATTATTAAGTGGATATTATCGGGTTTTGATAAAACAACAATGACTCACGAGTCGTTGACCATTATAGTAGACTAATATTAAGTGCCTATATGTAAATTCGGTAAAAAGTTGCGTGTATAAGGACAGCACATTTCTCATTGTTGTCATTTCGCGGACGATGTA